TTGCATATAGATCAATCCTCCATAAATAATTCATAATTAGAGCAAGGTAAAATCTGTTAACCTCTCTAATTACTTCTTTATCCTTGAGTACCATTGATTCTCTAATTAACAATGATTCATAAAACACATTCATGAATCGGAGCTCCTACTGGTCCAAGTATCGAATCAATCCTCAAGAGAATTATTTATCTACTTCTTTCTTAAGAAGGAATGGATTCCATCTCGTGTAATAACATTCCCGGCTACCTACTTCATCATGTCTCCAAAATACAAGGAATAGGATTCAGGATCTCAGAATCCATACCGAGTAAATTAAAAGACACGAATCCATAAATATGAGTCTGTTAAGAACTCAGGATTAAGATCATTCTATATATGACCATCGGTAGACTCAATTAGAATTTCTATACTTAACGGAATTATTATAAATTCATATTGTGTATGTGTCCTTGTTCCACATAATCTCATTATGCGAAATACACTCATTCAATATCTCACCATATTAACAGTGCGGATAACACCGTTCCATTCTAAATGGGAATGACATGTATTAATAATGTTTTAATTAAAGATTCTGAACTTTAATTAAATTCATTATGAACATTGCTTTTTGATTATTATCCTTAAACATTATCCTCTCGTATATAATACTTATATACAATGTTTAAGGTTACATAAATTATCATGAAATTTTTATTGATATTCATAAATATATGCACATAAAATAATGAATAAACTATTTTATTAAATAAATAATAAATATCTTATTACATCTTATGCTTCTAGAACACCATTCCCAACAGCCCATGTGACCCAGATTGTTGGTGGAAAGATGAAATTGCCCGCTTGAACTCTTCCGGCGACCAAAGACGAAATTGCCAGAAATATAACAGGAGATGGTCGGAACTATTCCAGTGACCAATGACGGCAAACTTCATATGGATTTGTTTAGCTCGACGAGAGGAGTCTAAAGACACCACTTGTCGGAGGATTAGACATCGGACGGGGCCGGAATCTGCGTTGGAAGGTGTTGTGGCCGGAAATTTCAAACTGAAATTTTGACCGATCGGCGACGAATCGGGCGGTGAGGTGAGGGGGGTTTTGTAGATCATCTCATGGGCTCTCTGGGTCTGATCTCAATTCATGGTGGGTCGGTCGGAGGTAGTCAAAATCGACATCGGCTCTCTTTTCTCTTCCGTCGTGAGTTTTTTGTTTTTTTTTTTCTTGTTTGCGCTGATTCAGCGTGGGAAAATTGTGGAGACATGTTGGGTAATTTTGGCCTTTTATGTGATTGTCAAAATTTTAATTAGACTATCAATTACAGGGCAACTACCCCCAATTACTAAAGATATGTTTGGTTCATGGATTAGAATCATGAGATTATAACCATTTTTTATTTACGTGTATTTTTTGTGAGAGAAAATACTATAGCGAATCATGAACCATGATTCAAATCGCGATATGAATCCCCTTACCAAACGTCTCATAAATCATGAGCCACTTATTAGCATCTTCATAATCATATGCAAAAGAAAAGGGTCGAATGGTCGATACATAACGAAATTGCATCCAACCATGTCACAGAATTAGAACACATAAAAACATTATTTGCTAAATAGCGGGTTGCATGCACGAGACTAATAATTGTCCTAATATTAATTAAAGTCTCGTTCACTTCGCAGATTCAAGTTTTCAATTTGAACTGAGATGTGATATTTTTTGAGAGTTTTTAACTGTAGTAAGAAAATTTAGATGTGATACTTTATAGAGTGCTTTTCACCTTATAAATTTAAAATTGAAAACTCGAATCAATAAAATAAACGAGACCTAATAATATTGAGATCGCTCGAATATTCTTGAACAACCTTTACCACATTAATGGCATGGACTCAAATTCAATCAGTATAGTGCTTGAATTTTTGTTGATGCATCTGACTTCACTACTTAGATATTTAGTACATCGGGCGCGTTTGGATTTCGTTCCAAAATGATTTTATTTTTTGTATAAAAATGAAAATGAAAACGCTTTCAATCTCATATATAAATCATTTTTAAAAATGCGTTTGGTAGTTTTATTAAGAGATTATTTTCAATATAAAAATCCATTAATGTCTCTATCTGCTCAAGAGAGGATAACATAAAAATAAAAAATAAAAAACGACTAAAAGGTTGTTTTTTATTTTTCTCTCATTTTACACTAAATTAAAAAATCATTTTTATTTATATTTTTTGTCTTTATTGCGTCAAACGTCGTTTAAAAAATATTTTTAATTTTTTTTTCAAAAAACGTGAAAAATAAAAACGGAATTAATTTTTAACACAACTATCATCTCTCTAGTAAAATTGCTTTTGCTTACGCTTCATGCGATCTTAACGTGCCATAAAAAAGATGCGGATAAAATTATCATAATACAATTTATATGAACCAGCAGCAACGACCATAAGACTCGATGTCTTCACCTTAAAGCTCCTCCAATACAATGGCAAATTGATTTACCAATGCAAAATCTTGATATTTGAGTGAAAGTTTCTTTAACGCTAAATTTGACAAATGCTACAAATATCAAATTTGGCATTTCATGATTATTGCTCGATATTAACTTTTTTATTTTTTATCATTACAACGTTATTCTTTTTAAAAATTATTTAAGTTTAGCCAAGTTTCAAAACAAATGACAAAAAATATATATAACACTTGAAATAACATAATACATTAAGGAGCAAATATAATAGCACATTAAATATGTTATTTAACTTATTTTTACATTTTTTTAGTGATAAATATAACATTAATATTGAAATTTACACTGAAGATGATCTTTGGAATAATTTGACTTGTAGTCCTCCGAGAATTGTTAAGCCCACAACTTGCTCAAGTAATTTGACTCGTACCCCATGAAATATTTTTGTTACGTTCTAACCAAACGCACCATAGATGACACAAAACTGCTCTTGTAATTTCTCAGTCTTGTATGAATTTGCCATCGTATGAATAATATCTCTAAGCAAAATGATATTTACTCATTACTCGTAAAATAGTGAGTCTCATTAAATTTAATTTTATACTCATTTAGTGAAATTCACTTTATATAAGTAGGAGATTTAACCTCATCAAAATAAATAAGAATGTTATGTCTCTAAAGGGCCACTTATAAGGATTGAAATTTGGCTAAAAATGAGATGCTTTCCAAATCTGATTGGCCATTTAGATCTCATTCGGCTAACAATGAGATGCCTTCCCATGCCGATAAACATTACGACCAATTTCCAATTTAACCATAAAAAAAATAAGAGTTATCTCGTTTCACTCCATACAACTCAAAATAACACAGAACTACTCCGACCATCTCATAAATTGTAATTTGGGCTCTTTATGTATATAGTAAAATTCAAATAGTTGAAGTTTGAATATACCAGATCTTTTAAAATATCACAATAATAGTAAAATTTAATATCATTAAAATAATGACTATAATTATATATTACAAAAAGTGATATTATTAATATGTCATTTTATTATTTTTGTAATATTTTAAAAATTTTACTAAAATTTAACTCAAAGTTTAAAATTTTGCCATGTAGCGTACTTGTGTTAATGACGGCCTCATTCATTTCACTGATTCGAGTTTTCAATTTTAGGTTTCTACAGTATAAAATTATCAGAAAATGTCACATCTAACTTTTTTTGCTACAGTGAAAAGCTCTAAAAAAATGTCACATCTCAGCTCGAATTGAAAACTCGAATTCGCGAAGTGAACGAGATGTCAAACTTATTATGATCTTGATCACAAATAAATCCTGTGACTAGTTGGAGGATGATGATGATGCATATGTCGCTATTTTCTAATAAAGGAGGCAACACTTTAGATTAGAGTGAGAGAATTTGTAAATTTTTAATTTTTTAAAATATAAAGTTTATTTTATTTAAATTTAGCCCGTTCGGTTCGTTAATTCGAGTTGAGATGTGATTTTGTGTGAGAGCTTTTTACTATAGCAAAAAAGTTAAATGTGACTATTTTTTAGAGTTTTTTACTGTATCAAAACTCGAATCTGTGACGGGGTATTACTTTTTATCAAGTGATCATGTGACCCTGCTACAATTTAGGATGACAATTTTATCACGGATATATCAGCAGATATTCATTCTTTATAAGTCGAATATAGAGTATGTTATATTGGGGTGAGGACGTGTATGGGAGTAAAAATTAGCCCCTGATTTAGAGGTGGGTTGGGATAGGAGAAGCTCCCCTATCTCCACCCCGGCTGCTTCTCCCAACCCACCCACACCTTAATTACATATACACCTGTATATGTTCGAGTTTGGACTTAATTTTTAAATTTTAGTTTGTTAATATTAGAGTTTAGATTTAGTATTAAGATTTCAATTTATTTTCATGACATGTTAATAGCTATGTTGTTTAATTTTCTAATTAATTTAATTGATTTTTTTTTTAAGTTTGATAATGTTGCAAATATTTTTTAAATTCTTAGTAGGTAAAAGAGTAGATTATGAGAATAGTTCTCTTAGTAGAGATTCTCCGATAATAACACCACCTTAAATTAAATGGGCCTAGGCGGGTACGAGAGACAAAACAATAGTAGAGTATAGATAGGGATAGGAAAATATATTTGTCCTCCCTGCCTTGCTCCATTGCCATATCTACTATAGTCAAATGATAAACTCTAAGGGCGTGCTTAGAACTCATTTTAAAATAATTTTATTTTTTATATTAAAATGAAAATGAAAACGTTTTTAATCTCAGATAGAAATTATTTTTGAAAATATATTTAGTAGTTTTATCAAGAGATTATTTTTAGTGTAAAAAAACTCATTAATGTCTATATTTCTCTCTCTGCTCGAGAGAGAAGAAAATGAAAAAAATTGAAAAATAACTAAAAGTTATTTTTTATTTCTCTCTCATTTTATAATAAACCAAAAAATCATTTTTATTTCCGTTTTTTGTTTTTATTGTGCCAAACGCCGTTTTGAAAACGTTTTTATTTTTTTCTTTCTCGAAAAACGTAAAAAAAAAAACAGGATCAATTCTAAACATGGCCTAAGCGTTCAGGCCTTGTTCTTTTCAAAATTCAAATTTTATTATTACAATATTTTTTTTTATAAACATTTAAGTTTAACCTATTTTACTATAATGTTTTTCTCTGACATACAGGATTAAAGTTAAGAACGTAAATCAACCTAACATCTGTTTAATGACTTGTTCTTTTGGAGTTTTTGAGTTATGGTGACTTGAGTTTAGATATTGATTTGAGTTAATGTGTATTTGAGTATAGTTTGAGTTGAGACTCTAATTTGAGTTTGTGTTTGGATGTGCACATTTTGAGTTATGGTGATAATCTATTTGAGTGAGTCAAAACTTAAATTTATATTTGGATCGTATTTTAATAAAAACTCAATGGTGATAGTTGATTTTAATAGGGTATATGGGTGAGATTTTATTTATCTCTTCGTTGTGAACGCATAGAAAAAAAAACCATCTCAATCGAAATCAAAATGAAAAAGTTATGACGTTTTTAAAAATAAAAAAAATATTATTCAATAACTTGAGTTTGAGATTAGAAAATTGAGTTGAAAGGGAACTTGAACTCAGATTTTAACCATAAATTTAAGTTAAAACTTAAAATTTATAAAAAAATATGAACTTAAATAAAGTTATAACTCAGGTTTAATTTTTTTTTAAAATTTATGTGCAAACGAACAAATCTAAGCGTGCGTTTGGTTCAAGGATTCGTGTCATGATTCAGATCATAGTTTGTGGCTTGCTACAATATTTTTTCTTATAAAAAAAACACATAAATAAAAAATAATTTTGAATTATGATTCTGAATTCATCAATTAAATGTTCTCTTGACATTTAAAAAGGAGATTCGTACCATAATTTAAATCATAATTTATAATTTACTATAATATTTTTTCTCATAAAAAATATATATAAAATGAAAATAATTCTAAATTATAGTCATGAATCATGAACACGAACGGAACGTTGGTGCAAATTATTTTTTGTTTTTTTTTTAAGGAAAACGTAAAAAAGTAGCGAAAGAGCTCTCCATTTTCTTATTCGTCATCGCCTACTTCCTCACAAGCCTCCTACCAGCACTGCCAACAAACCCTAAATAACCTACAAAACTTCTTTGAGGTCCAATTCCCCTACAGCAATGTCATCCGAAGCTTCTCAACCAGAGCAGCAAGGGGACGAGTCCAAATCCGCGAGCAAGAAGGCCGCGAAGAAGGAAGCCGCCAAACTGGAGAAGGAGCGCCGCCGCCAGGAGGCCGCCGCCTTAGCCGCCTCCGCGTCGAATTTCTCCATCGAGGAAGATCCGCTCGCCGCCAACTACGGCGACGTGCCGCTCCCGGAGCTCCAGTCGAAGGCTCCGGTCGACACCGGAAACTGGACGGAGGTTGGCGCGCTCAGCGAAGCGCTGAAGGACCAGCGCGTGCTCGTGCGGGGAAGATCGCAGACGATCCGGTCCGTCAGCAAGAACATGGCGTTCTTGGTGGTCAGAGAGAAAGGATTCACCGTGCAGTGCGTGGTGACGGCGATTCCGGACGTTGTCAGCCGTCAGATGGTGAAGTACGTCTCGGGATTGAGCCGCGAGTCGATCGTGGACGTTGAAGGGATCGTCTCTGTTCCCAAAGACGCCATCAAGGGAGCAACACAGCAGGTTATCGAACTATTTTGGAAATATGGAAAAAATTATTAATCCCTTATATCGTTAATTGGAAGATAATTATGTTTGTTCTTGTATAAACGGAAAATATATATCGGATAAGAAGCTCAAAGTTTAATTTTTTACTTTTAACTAATCAGTTTGTATCTAAAAGTATGTAGATAGGTAATAGGTTCAGAGGTTATGAAGGTGTTTTGTTTTCGTTTTTGGCCTACAAGAATATCATTGAAAAATAGTATAATTGTGATTTAAATGAGAAAGTGCACGGAAAAGCTTAGTAAAGTTCTTCTGCAGAGATATTTTTGGATGTTTTTGTTTTGCTTGATGGCAAATTATTACTTGTTTTCTAGTTTTGCTATTCTAGTTTTTTTTTTTTTTTCAATCATGTTTAGTTTCTTGTAAAGTAAAAGGAAAATCTGTTTGTAAATATTGCTGTTTATTATCGCAGGTGGAAGTACAAGTGAGGAAATTATACTGTGTCAACGCGGCCTTGCCAACTCTACCTATTAATGTCGAGGATGCTGCTAGAAGTGAAGTTGAGATTGACAAGGCATTGCAAGTAATGACCTCTCTCTGTCTCCCTTTTCTCACTTGTGTTTTTGTCTTGTGTGTCTGATAGGTTACTTGTAATTTGGAAGTTTTTGAACCCCTTTGTAATCATTTGTTGTGTAATCTGGTTGGTATAGGCTGGGGAACAACTTGTACGTGTTAATCAAGATACCCGTCTGAACAATAGAGTAATCGACATGAGAACGCCTGCTAATCAGGGTATATTCCGCATTCAGTGCCAAGTTGGAACTGTAAGATTCTACTTCCTGATCTTCTCCTTTCTTTTTTGCCTCCACTTCTTTATATGCATATTTGTTATTTAGGAATGCAGGAAATGAAGATGTTTCGAGACTTATTTAAGGGTTGGTTTATAGGTTTTGTTTGTTAAGAGAAATTGTTGTATAAACATGTGAGACTGTCAGCTCATGTTTGGAAGACTATTTTCCTTCTTTTGGAGCTGTGATGGTTTTAGTAATTGGTTAAATCTTAAATTCTGTTTCATAGGCTTGGTCATTTCTTTTAAGAAAATAGGTTAATAAATATGCAAGTGCTCTATTTGGTAATTTTCATTGCTTTTCCAATAATTTCGTTATGAGAAATTAGGCATTGATAAAGAAGAAAGTTTGTGCTTAAAGGAAAGCTGGAGCTTTGCACTTTCTGCTTTCCCCTCTCTCTTTCTCTCTCATATACACACACAAAAACATGCACACACTCTTATTTCTGTTCAGAAAAATCTTTTTTCTATATTTACCCTTGTATGTAATGTACTTCTTATGCCCTGGTTGTTGTTGTGACATCATCGAGCAGATATTCAGGCAATTCTTGCTTTCTGAAGGATTTGTAGAGATCCATACACCTAAATTAATAGCTGGTTCCAGTGAAGGTGGTGCTGCCGTTTTCAAACTGGATTACAAAGGACAGCCAGCCTGCCTTGCTCAGTCACCCCAACTTCATAAGCAAATGGCAATCTGTGGTGATTTTGGGCGTGTTTTTGAGATTGGTCCTGTGTTTAGAGCTGAGGACTCTTACACGCATAGGCATTTGTGTGAGTTTACTGGCCTTGATGTTGAAATGGAAATCAAGGAGCACTACTTTGAGGTAGAGTTATAATTTCCATTGCTTGTCATATCAAGGACTCCTGTGATAGTCTGTGATTTTGACTCTTTGAGAATGTTATTGTTTTTTCAGGTGATGGATATTGTGGACCGTTTATTTGTTGCGATGTTCGACAGCTTGAATAAAAATTGTGAGAAACAGCTTGAAGCTATCAGGAAGCAATATCCATTTGAACCTCTGAAGGTCATGATTCATTTTTAGTTGTAATTATTTTATGCTTTATTCTTGATTTTTATATAGTAAGTGATGTACCAAGTCCTACTAGTTTCATTACCCCAGAAAAATTTATATATATGGGTATAACATTGCTTATTCATTATATAATAAAAATTCAAAAGTTTTTATAATGTTTGAATCTGATTATTTGCATTTGTTTCCTTATAATGTTTGATTCTGATTATTTGCATTCGTTAAACTTGCAGTATCTGAGGAACACTCTACGGCTTACATTTGAAGAAGGTGTTCAAATGCTGAAAGTATGGAGTTTGGATCTTTTTTCTTTGTCCACTTCAATTTTTTGTTGTTTGCAAGAAAACTTCTATCTTTACCGTTGCATGAACATTGCTAATTGCTATCTATAAAAGACCTTATTTTTGGCTCTGAATAAAAGGCAGATTGATAAGACTGATTACAGCTTTCAATACTCTTGTGTGTAAAAGGATTCCTGTATGAAAAAAAAAAGGGTGAAAAGATTGCCTACCAGTGATAATAATTGCATGATTCTTTCTTTGTTCTACCCTTTTAGCCTTATATCCTTTTTAGCTTTTATGTTAAGTTTAACTTGCATGCACAGGACGCTGGTGTTGAAGTTGATCCTCTAGGGGACTTGAACACTGAGTCAGAGAGAAAATTGGGCCAGCTAGTTCTAGAGAAGTAATTTACTGATTACACATTTTTGCTTTCTGCTTGCATTGTTAAAAAGTTTGTTTATTTAAAATTGTTTAGTCATTGTAAATTTATGAACTACATTTTTCACTTGATTTTAGGTACGGGACTGAGTTCTACATACTTCACCGCTATCCTTTGGTTGTTAGACCATTCTATACAATGCCTTGCTATGATAATCCTGCTTACAGCAATTCATTTGACGTCTTCATTCGAGGTAAGCAGGCAGTAATATTGTACTAATAAAAAAGAATCATCATTAATTATTAAAAATGTTACTACTTATTTTACTTTCCAATTTTGGAATCACGTTTTCTTCCTATCAAAATAGAAAATGGCATCACATGAATGCCGAACTATTTTTCTGTTTTGAATTTGGGTTCTTGAGATACATTGCATACTGATAACAAGCGACGAGGATGTTTAGCCTTTCCATACTTCGTTTTGTGAGTTTGCCCATCTCGTTGTTTATGGTATTAACTTGTTCCCTTAAACAAGTTACGCATCTTTAGGTAGATTAATATATGATTATAGACCATCACGATATGTACAAAACTAGTCTCATAAATGTTTTCTCATCTCATAATGTGAGATTGTGAATATATGGTTTTACACTGGTAGTATGCTATATATTAAAATATGTTATCTTGATAAGAAACCTACGAGTGTTATGCTATATATTAAAGTGCATTATCTTGATAAGCAACAAATGGGTGTTTTGTTCAAATATCTCAGTAGAAGGAGAAATAGATAGGTGTGAATATGGTACCTCCTGTACAACAAAGGAATCTGTAAAGCATAAGACTAAGTTGAAAAGAGAATAATATGTTCCCAACTCAAAAGAGAAAAAGGAATACCGACATCTATCTGGTGAGCAAAAGTAACTAATATGGATCTCCTTTTTTTCTCAGGTGAGGAGATTATATCCGGAGCCCAGCGTGTTCATGTGCCAGAGTTCTTGGCAGAACGTGCACAAGCATGTGGGATTGATGTGAAGACAATATCGCCTTATATCGATTCTTTTAGGTATTTTACTTTCTATAGTATGTCTGCATCATAGCTTCTTAGATCTCTTTTGTATTTTAGTTGAAAGGAGACTTTATCCCATAAGTTTGACCAGCTTAAGTTGCCTTCTGGTATGGGTTATATATTATAAGGGTCCGTTTAGTTCGTTTATTTGAGTTTTTAATTCGAGTTGAGATGTGATTTTATGTGAGAGCTTTTTATTGTAGCAAAAAAAAAAATGTGACTGTTTCCGAGAGCTTTTTACTGTAGCAAAACTCGAATTTGTGAAATAAACGGGGCCTAATTCTGAGGAGGCTTAAGTTTTAAGAGTGAGTCCATCTCGGCCAAAAAAAAAAAAAAAAAGAAAAAGAATTAGCAGACATTTTGCTTTTCTTCTTTGATGTTGTTATTTTGGTAAATTTTTTGGCAAAGTGTGGTTTTAAAGTGGCGTCTTTGAGTTCAATTTACTTTATTTTGTCAGGATTTTCCTCGCTCTCTCTCTTTGATAACTTGCATTTTAGTTTGAATTTAGATACTTGTAATGCAATCAACTCAAAACCAAATTGGGAGCCATTTTTTGGCTTAAACTTCAAGCAATTAAAGTGTTTGTGTTCTAGATGTTTGTTGATGAATCTTATGGTTGGCTAATACAGATATGGTGCGCCTCCACACGGTGGCTTTGGAGTAGGGCTGGAGCGAGTGGTGATGCTTTTCTGCGGATTGAACAACATCCGGAAGACATCTTTATTCCCCCGCGATCCCCTAAGGCTTGCACCCTGATATTGGATTCTAGAAGACAATTTGGTTCACTGAGATTTTGTTCATACTGACATTCAGAATTACTGATCTCATTTCATTTTTGTTCATACTGACACGTTTGCTTCAAGGCAAATGAGCTTTGGTTATATAATCTTTGCCAAATCGATTGGTACTTTTTGTTTACTCTCTCCGTTACTGTCTTTTTAGATAGAGTATTTGTCATTTGAGCATTTTTCTTAATTTATTTGGTAGGGTTATCTTGAGCACTATTAAAATGAGCTTCTACTTAGAGGATGTTTAGTTGGAGGATTCAAACCATAATTTGAATCATAGTTCATGGTTCGTTACAGTATTTTTTTCTCACAAAAAATATATGTAAATCAAAAATAATTTTAATCACATGATTCTAATACATGAACCAAACGTCTCCTTAAAAAAATTGTTTGTGGCTTACCAGCACTATGGGCTGTTAGGACTTGCTCGTCGAAATGGTGCTTAATTTAATTGACAAGGTAATGTTGAGTCTAGTTTTAATAGTTGATGGAAAAAGGAATATGATCGTGATAATGAGCACAATCTAACGGTTATTTTACACTTAATTTTACTGCATAATTTAGAGTTTAAATCCCCTTGGCAGGCATTATCCTCGAGAAAACGTTCTCAAGAACTTTACAATTTACATTCCCTTAAATTACTCGCAGGCATGAGATTTTCTGTCCCAGTTGGCACGAAAGATGACTACGCATCAACTACTTTTCTGGGCTTTTGCTTCAAGTTCGACCATGAAATGTAAAGTAAACTAAACATTTTCAGTCAGAAGAAAAAAAAAAAAAAACAGTCAGTTGAGCTAGAAAAACTTGAGAAAAAAACGTTGATGGATATTAAGTGGATTAACGGAAGAAATAAAGAAAAAGAAAAATAAGGCAAAATAGGCCATCTCACCAAACTTGATCTCCATAGTCAACCTCTTTACTTGACATGAAACACTTACTCTAAGCAGCAATGATTATTGATTTCCGAGAAATTCCCATCCCACATTTTGTTGATTCTTTATAGAATTTGAGATAACTGGACCACTCAGATTCAAAAGTTTCAGGAATCATTTTCCCGACTCTTGGAAATTTGTCAAAGTTAACCTTGAGTTTGGTAATCTTTGGGTAGAACACTTGCATTGGAAACCCTAAACTTTCAGGAATAACCAGAGTAAAAAAAATATTATTTATGTCACTGCACCTAAAAATAAACAATTGCTATTTAATTAATAAAGAGAAAATAAAAGGTCATAACAAAATATCTATTTATTGGCTACAAGGTGCTGTTAATATGCTTTTCCTTCACTGTTGCAACATCACTTAGTTCATCTATTCGTATATTTCCTCAATCTCTATCATCGTCTCCAAATTTTATTTCACTTTTCATTCATGGTGTCCACAATTCTCATATAGACTCCATTATTCCCATCACAGTTGCTTGGCAAAGATGCCTTTCCAATTTGCATATTTTGGATCTCTCAGAAAATTCAACTTTTGAGGGGTGAAATCGAAGAGATCACAAGTGCAGTATCAAGATGTATTAATGTCAATGCTAAGTGACTATTTAGCGGAAGTTAGCCAGGTAGTGTGGGATATCTCAAACATCTCAGTCAAGATTCAACTTTTTTTGGTTCTAGAGTTTTGTTCAATCTAAAGCCACAATTTCACATAACGTCTTGTTCTCAATCAATAGATGAGGCAATTTTACAACAGGGAGTGAAATTATTGATGGTACCATTCCTACAAGCATGTCTTCTCTGACTTTCTTAAGTCATTTGAACTTGTCTCACAACCATTTGTCCGGCTCAATTCCATCAGCAAATCAGTTCGGGGCCTTCCAAGATGCATCAATTTACGAAGGTAATCTAGGACTCTGTGGGCCGCCACTGCTGACCATGTGTTCAGCCTCCCAACCGCCTGAAATTAGCAGAGGATCAATCATTGATGAAGATGACGATGAGCTCGAAAAGTTCTGGTTCTACGTGAGCATGGGACTGGGATTTCATTGTGGGAATTTGGGCTGTTTGTGGCAGTTTGGTGATTAAGAGGTCTTGGAGACATTCCTATTTCAGGTTCATGGATAATGCGAAAGACAGGCCTCTGGTGGTCATTGCAGTGAATATGAATCGCCTGCGAAGGACTGAAGCAATGCGGCAAAACTAAGGTACTTATATAAGAAAAGAAAAGGAATAATATATATTTACTCATTTATTTATGTGTTGTTCGTGTGTTTATAAGTAATAACAAGTCTAAATTTAACTGGACAATATTAAGCATGCCTTTTTTTTTTTTTTTTTTTTTGTGTGAAAGGGATTGATTTTTAAATTTTCACACAAAACAAAAGAAAAAGAAAAAAAAACGCGAGTAGTAGCGTTAAGCAAAGGCACAGTGTACATAATTGATATGTTTCCACTTATTATTTTCTTAACTCCCTTTTCTGATAGTGTTTATTCGGATTTCAAAGGATTCAACTTTTCGTTCTTTTCCTATTACTGTAATTAGAGATGTGTGTAAATAATAATGCAAGTGGATCAATGTATTAAAGTGATAATATGCTGTTCTGGTATTTCATGTGAAAATCCTACGTGTTTCTTCCTCTAAAATTAGAGTACCATTTGATAAGTTTGCTTTGTGTTTTCTTATATATTTATTCACGTCTCTGCATAACAACGCTGTTGATTCAACTCTTATATTTGAGCACATAAAATAACTCTGTTTTGTCTATAAGATGCCAAAAAAAAAAAAAAAACACAGAATAAGAAAAGCAATTGTGCAATCTGTTTTATGGTTAAGATCAGACAGGCAGCGGAAGTAGACACTACGTATTACCAGTTGAAACAACAAGTTTAGGAGGGATTAGTTCAGAAATATTGGATCGAGGATGGTCTGTTGTATGCTCGAGGAAGCAGACTATTCGTCCCTAAGGGTGGGGAACTAAGACGAGACCATGATCCACAATGGGCTGGACATCCGGGCGTGGAACGCATGACAACCTTAGTGTCGAGACACTATTTCTGGCAAAAGATGGAAGAGGACATTGAGCTGTATGTTCGCACTTGTCTTGTGTGTCAACTAGACAAGACCGAGAGGAAGAAGCAAGCTGGACTTCTTCAGCCCCTAGTATTTAGTGCTGGAACTTCGGGTCGGCGGGCTGCCCGAAGCCTGAATTTTTTTAGGCTCGGGCGGGCAGGCCCAATTCCCGCCCGCCCAAGCAAGAAATTCAGGTTCGGGCTCGGGTAGCCCGAATTTGACATGTCCACCCTTGCCCGCCGCCGTCTAACCACCGTATACCGCCGTCCGCCGGGATTTTTTTGAATTTTTCCGACCATGCCCGACCCGAAAATTGGGTGTGCCTGACCCGCTGCCCGAAAACTCAAACGGCTGTTTGTTTTTTTTTTTTAATTTTGCCCGAATTTTTCCCGCCTGCCCGAATTGCCCGACCCGCCCGAGGTGCCCGAATTGCCCGAATACAACTAGTTTTTTGAATTTTGCCTGAAAACCCGAGGTGCCCGAAAATAGCTAGTTTTTTGAATTTTTACCCGAATTCTGCCCAAAAACCCGAGTTGCCCGAATACCCGAAAACGGCTAGTTTTTTGAATTTTGCCTGAAAACCCGAGGTGCCCGAAAATAGCTAGTTTTTTGAATTTTTACCCGAATTCTGCCCAAAAACCCGAGTTGCCCGAATACCCGAAAACGGCTAGTTTTTTGAATTTTGCCTGAATTTTGTCCGAAAACCCGAGCTGCCTGAGTTTGTCCGACTGCTCGAAGCTCGAATTTAAAAAAACTAGCCGTTTTATCCCGTTTTTTTTTAAAAAAAAAACCATTTTTTAACCCCAAAATTTCCCTATAAATACCCCTCATCCCTCACACATTTTTCTCACTCAAACTCTCTCAATCCCTCTCAATCTCTCTCAATTTCTCTCAATCTCTCTCAATCTCTCTCATAATTTTTTTAAAGCTCTCTCTCTACCAAATTCATCTTATTTTTTTATAATAGATCCTTTTGGTTATAGTGGTATTTCCGTTTATGCCTAACACAATGTAGAAGAAGGGCAATTTCCCACTAATAAGTTTGTTACGCAGCAATCTACTAATCCAAGCCATGGTGGACGTACTGGAGGTCATGGTCGCAATAGTAGGCGTGGAGAAGCGGCGGCGAGTGCGAGTGCGTCTGCGTCGGCAAGTGTTACAACCTCCAAGAGGAAATGCAAGCATACCTCGACAGTTTGGGATCACTTCGACATAATTGACGAGGTGGATAATGAAGGTAACACTAAACATATAGCTCAGTGTAAATATTGTTTATCTAAATTACAAGGCGATACTATTCACGGTACCACATACTTGAGACGACACTCCGAAAAGTGTCTTCAAAAGCTCAGCCAATCTAGCGGACCCGAACTCCGCCAAACACAATTATCTTTTGATCGCGCAACCGGTGGTCTAACCACTTGGAAATACGATCCGCAAGAAGATCGTATGGAAGTTGCGCGAATGATAGCTGCTTTAGATCAACCACTTAGTTTTGTAGAGCATCCTAATTGGCAACGATATATTAAGGTTGTACACAATCCTAATGCACAGTTCACTTCAAAAACTATTCTTAGGAAAGATTTATTAAAATTATTTAAAAAAGAAAAAGATGCATTAATAAACTTTTTACACTCGACTAGTGGGGTGCGTTGCGTTAACGGCAGATATTTGGTCTGCCGTTGCTAATAAAGATTATTTAGCTGTAACCGGACATTACTTTAAAGGATTTGATTTAGATAAGAGAATATTAGGTTTTAAATGTGTTCTAGGATCACATAGCGCAGATTTAATATATAACACGATTTTAAATGTAATTGATGAATTTAGTTTAAGAGATAAAGTAATGGCTATAACATTAGATAATGCTAGTGCCAATACAAAAGCAATTGAATTTTTTGAAAATGATTTAAGTCTATTCAGTGACGGTACTATTTTCTACCAACGTTGTGCATGTCATGTAATCAATTTAATAGTTAAATCCGGTTTAAAAGAAATGAGTAATCACATTAAAAGAATTAGAGATAGTCTTGCATGGATTCAAGGTAGTAACCAAAGACAAAAAAATTGGTTTAGGTTCTTACAAGCATTAAATATACCTCCTAGAGCATTAGCGTTAGA